CTTTTCGCTTAATTTTCTTTCTTTGTTTTTATTTAATTTTTCTTTTCTTGTATGTCGCTTTCTTTCTTGCTTTTTTTTTCTATAATTCTCTTCCTTTCTTTTAATTCCTTTAATTTTTTTCTCTTTGTATTTTTCCCTTTTTGCATTTCCCTTTCTTTCTTTCTTTCTTTCTTTCTTTCTTTCTTCCACTTTACTTCACTTCATTCTTTCGTTTTTCTTATAACTTTTATTTTTCTTCTGTCTGACTATATATGTCTTTCCTTCTTTGTACTCTTCTCATCCTTTCTTTTTCCCTCCATTTTGACTTCACTTTTTGCTTCTTTCTTTCTTAATTCCTATGTTATACTTTTCTCTGCCATTAATTCCTTCTTCTATTCGATTATTATTATTATTATCATTATTATTATTATTATTATTGTTGTTGTTACAGGTTTTCAACAGACATCTTGTGCTTACCGCTGGAGATTGTGTAACATTTAGTCTCCTGAAATCTTCAGTACCTTCCTCATCACCCTCAACGGCCCACATCATTGGTCTCGATAGTCTCATCGCTTCTGGGGATATCCATTTCATACAGGCTCGTCTTTCGTGTTTTGGGATCAGTTCCAGATCGTGCTAATCCCTATGACAACCGTTCTCAGACATTTCTATTCAGCAACATTGGTGCGTAAATTTGGGGTTGGTAACCTAAATTTACTTAACCAAGTTGCTGATTACTCAAATTTAAAAAAAAAAAAGAAAAACTCTGTCCTTTTCAGTTTTAAATGAAATAAAATCATTGCACTAAATTTATTAAATTTGTTAATGTATTATATTGTATCAGGTTGAGTCATAAGTAGTTTCCGTTTATGGGAACCATTTGTAATGTCGAATGTTTCATCCTAACTAACCGGTCCTTTAATATATCATAACAGCCACACGGCCTCCTTTCAGACCAAAAAATATGGCTTCAGTTTCACCAGGTTTATCGCTAATATGTTAACAACCATCGCTGAATTCGTCTATTAATTTTTAGATAAGAACGCCGAAACTCAGTCTGTGGATACCTCAAAGACGATCAACAGGGTTTGGTAAGCTGACCTTCTACGCAAACTGAAGGGCTATGGAAGCACGGGACGAATATTTGGCTTAACCCAGTCGTTCCAAACAAATCGTGTAATGAAGATCCTGTTGAACGGTCTTGTTTCCAAACCATTTCATACTAATCCGAGAATCTATCCTTGGACTTAAGCAGTTTCTGTTCTTCATCAACGACTTTTCCGATGTCATTGGTTTCCTACTGGGTATCTATGCAGATTACACAAATATTTACACCTGTCTTAGTAGCAAGTCCAACAGATCCAACTAAGTAAAGCTGTCTCTCGAAAAGGACCGCCAAGTAGTCGTTAACTGGGGCAGGAATTGGCTTGTAAGTTTTAACGCCTCCAAAACAAAACTGCTTTCAGTTAATCACCACAAAGAAGTTTTTCGACCTGCCATCAGCATTCTACGGTTTCTTGTATTCACGTTTTTTACTGACATGAAGTGGAGTGACTATACTGAATCCATTGCAAGGTCTACTGATAGGAAAGTTAGTTTACCGTATCGTGCCAGAAAATTCTCCTCGTTAGAATCCATCTTGCAAATTTATAAATCTACCATTCGCCAGTGTATTCAATATTGTAGCCCTATCTTGTCTGGTGCTCCTGCTGTATATCTACAGATTCTTGACCAAATCCAAAGAATGGTATGTAATGGAATCGATCCTGACCTGGTATCTCGACTTCAGTCATTTTCTCACCAACGTGACGTGGCTTCTGTCTATCTTTTCTACAAATATTTTTTTATGGCAACTATTCTGATGAGACTTTTTTGCCTTGTGCCTTGACTACATTAATTTAACCGTGCTACTAAATCTGTAACTAGGTCTCACCATTTTACTGCTGAACTAATTAGATGAAAACCACTAACTTCCCATCTGTGACACTCCCCTCCGATTTACTGTCTCACTGCCAACTACAATCTTCAAACATTTAAATGCAACGTCAATCAGCATCTCCTGTCTGACTGAAACCTGTTCTTTTATTGTTCTTTTCTTACTTTTCCATCCTAAAGTCCTCCCTGTAAAACCCCCACTGCATCCTAGTGGCATTATCGACTTGCTTTGCTTGGGGTAAAATGCTTTTAAAAAAAACTGGTGAATAAATACTGTAATGATGTAATAGTTCATGGCCTGACAAGTATATACATTCACAACTAGCTCTAAAAGCTGAGATCATAGAAGAAAGTAAATCTTGTTTACTTGGCGGAATCGTCGGGGTATTATTCATAAAATGTAAAGAAACACTAAATGCACATTTTTATGTCCAGCAGCTGCAACGTATCATTGGTCAACATGTATCTTGTGCTATTGATCACAACGCAAGGTCGCACTCAGCAAGAATAACATAAGGAAATATTTTATTTATTCGATTTTATTTATTCTGTTTTACCCCGCCAGACATATGCATTACATTTTTCGATCACTTCAAAACAATTGATAGAAAGAACCTTCTCTAATGAAAGCATTTTCACTTCAAAATCTGAGGAATTTTACTGGACATGTATCGAAGAGCTGCCTAATAACTGGTGGCAAATTATTGCAAATAACGACGAATATACAGTTTGTTCCAAAAGTCGCATTACCATTGATAACTTTGTAAATTTATTTACCAAATGGAATCATCTTTCTGTATGTGGCAATATATTAGTAGGAAATTTTATTAGTCGAACTATGGAAGATGATGTCATTCAAATTTTTCCTGGTTGCTATTTCACAAGTGCATGCTTTCTGCCAGTTGTCACGTGAATTTTGGAACACCCTGTATGAATGAATAAAGTGTAATTGTACTTCATTTTTTGAAGAATAAAGTTGATAAACAGAAACGGAAATTCTATATTCCTTAATGACATAGTAGAAATTAGACGTTTGGCCACTAATTAAGAATAATTTAGTAACAAATCTAATGAGAAAGGGTTTTTTTTTTTTTTTTTGCAATTAAAAATTATATTAAATATGCGCTCTTACATAGGCGCCGGAAGGAGCCGTCAGTGATGTAAATTGACTTGGTACATCGGGAAGTTTCGAGTCTTTCAACATCAAACACACCATCACCAAGCCGACCGACTCAGGGGAGATCAATCCCTGATTCCTCCTCGCAAATACTTTTTAATAAATTGGGCGAAAATAGACCACGTTTTCCGTGCACCGGATTGGGTGTTTTTAACAGCCAATCCATTGCGCGAATTGGCGTTTAAATGATCCGGAGGGGGGGGGGCTTCTTTTCCTTCATTTTTTTTTTTTTTTTTTTGCGTGGATTTGTATTTTGTATTTGTCAGTGCTAGCCGCGAACTTAGTATCTGTCTTCCGGTTGCATACTGGCGAACACCCTGCTTCATATAGGTTGGAAAATAGGCAATAGAACGTTCAGGGAAAACTGTAGCGGTTCAAAATATCTACAACACTTTTGTTGTGAGTGCAGACAAATAAATTATTTGTCATAACTTTCTTCATTCTTTTTTTTTTCTACGAAGGCTTTAACAAAATGTCCCATATGTAATGTTTAGATTTTTTTTTAATTTTTCGTTTACATGCGGAAATATTCAGAGTGCACCTAAAATTGTGATACTATTTGTTGTTACCGCGGTAAAATATAGGAAAGTTTTCTTATGGATAGAAGGAGAGATATACTGAAAGACTTTGGAACAAGAAATCCGTGGGAATAGATTAACGATTTAATTCACATATAGACGACACCTGAAACTGGTGTGTCGAGAGTTTGAAAAATGGAAAATGACCCAGAATTAGGGAACAAGGATGATTGACATGTGTTCTACGCAGCTGAAAATGCAAGCTGTAAAGCGGAAACTTCATTTTCCTAAATAACGAATTTGGAGTTGGTTTCTCTTGGTCGAAAGGAGATACCTGCAACGATTCGATCTTGGCTGCCTTATGATCAAACATAAATCACAACGTGAGATAAGGCAGGTCTGAGATCGAAGCGATCTCCATCGATCAGCTGCTGTGTTAGATGTCTTGGACGGACATAGAGGATGTTGTACGATTATAAATTACCTTTCAGACAGTAGGCGATCATGAACCGCCACAATTTACTGCTTTTTGTTATTTAAATAACTTTTCGATTCTTTGTTTTCTCATTCATAACTCATCAAATAGGTTACCTCCTGATTCTCTTGCCTTCACTATATCCTGTGAGTGTTAAATTCCACAGACCTTCTTTTCTCAATATGTGTACCAGAAATTTCACTTTTACTCTCTCTCTCTCTCTCTCTCTCTCTCTCTCTCTCTCTCTCTGATTGTAATTATAAGTTTCTTTGATGCTCCTCTCAGTGTTCATATGTTCTGTCTATAGTATTCTTAGCATACGGCCGCCCTATTTCTTTAAGTCTCTTCTTTATCTTTGAGGAGATTTTCAAGTGTCCATTGCCATTAAAAAAACAGATGTTACATAGCAGTTCAGGACTAAAAACAAAAAGAATAAAGAGAATCATTGCGTAACCTTTTTTTTTCTTAATCACGCAAAGTTGAAAAAGCCACTAAGACACAAGACTGATTGTGAAAGAATGTGAAAACAAAAAAAAAGCATTAAGAAGAGAGGGCAATAAAAGGCCAGCTATTAAAGTAATCGAAGATAACAATTGGTATTTAAATTTTTGAAGATGAAAGTTGATTGGAAAACAAGAAACCGTAGAAGATTTCCACAAGGGAAAAGTGCTTTGATTCATTGATTTGTTTTAACGGTTTATCAACCCTTTCCAGATTATTTAAAGCCAGATTTTTTTATATTGCATGAATGTTTTTGTAGATAATAATGATACATGTCCTATTATTTAACCCATAGCTGGTGGAGATGATGTGTTTACATTTCTCAAAGATAATATAACGAACTCGACTGGAATTGAAACACGTCTCTCCAATTTCCACTTCTGAGCCGTTATCCATTGCACCACCCACACAATCAAGCACCTCATATTCCCAAGCGGTCACCCATTTAGGTACTGACCAGGCTTAACGCTGCTTAACTTCGGTGATCGCACGAGAACTGGTGGTTTCAGCGTGAGATGATCGTAAACCACGAGAAGTGATGCAGAAGAAATTATTTGCGTAGAACTTATGGTTATATCTACCAATTTCAATTTGTAAAATGATGAGACCTAGCTGCCAATCTAGTACTGCGCTTAAATGCGTAATATCGAGAAGAGGAAACCTCATCAAAACAATAAACTATCTAGGGAGATTTGTAAATGGATGGAAGAGCAGGGTCCTGGGAGAGGGATAACAAGGGGGTGGAAACGTTTCTTAGAGCTACAAGGTGTTATGGATTCCGGGATGAAATCCGGTCTCAAATGAATGACAAACGCAGGAATGAAATATAGCAAATAAATGTATTGACGTAATAATACAATTGGTAATACGGTTAGTAGATCCAGAAATGCGGTTAGTAGCAATAATAATATATATACAGTCTGGGAAATTCAGTATCGAAGTATGACTTCCTTCTCAGTCTACGTGCTCGCAACTGTGACTCCTACAAATCGGTTACCTCACACTCTCACTCTCTCACTGTATCACTCCCGGGTATTCACTGGCAGCAGTACAAGTACACACTGGGCGAGTCCACTTGTATAAAAAGCGGTGGACCCCTTAACACAAAGGATAGGAGGAAGCTGTGGAGAGCCATGTAAATAGACAGCACTGCCGGACCTGGGAAGAATAGTAAGAGAAAAACATTACTTAGAGCAACAAAATATAAGATAATGTGGAGTGATATGATCCTGAAGAGACATAGAATATAAAAGTATAAGAGTAGTATTCATAATAAGTCTTTCGTATCTGGGATATTGAGGGGCTTCTTGACTTTTTGCTTTTAATAATTCCTAGTGCTCCTATTATTATCGGAATTCTGATTGTGCTTAAAATGATATATTCTTGGGATTTCTATTTTAAGATATTTTTATTGTTTTTTCTTTCTTTCGAAAAATCGGGAAAATATGTTCATTCTTCAATATTCTAAATCTCTAAAAGAGATATTATCCTCTCTCTCTTTTTCTTTCTTTCTTTCTTTCTTTTTCTCGCTTTTTCTGTCTTTTTTCTTCCTATTTCTATCTCTTTTCGCATTTTCTTTCTTTCGTTTTCATTCTCTTTTCCTTCAAAGTCTCGTACTTTCACTCTTTTCGTCTTTCTCTTTTACTCTCTCATTCACCTTCTCTTTCGTTTACTCTTTCACCGTTTTTCTTTACCTCTCTTTCTCTCTATTTCTTTTTATATTTTTTTCTTTTTTTTCTTTCATTCTCTTTTTCTTTCTTTCTTTTCTCTTTTTCTTTATTCATGTTCGTTCTCTTTCGTTTTCTCTTTCTTTATCTTCCTTGTTTTCTTTATATTTCTCTTTCTTCTTCCCTTCTTACATTTCCCATTAGAACCAATAAGAAAGGCTTCACTATTTCAGACACTGCACCGTTCTACACTTCTTGGCTTTATATTCTAGCATTACGAAAGTTTTCTCTCTGAGAAAAGTTAAATGTTTGTGTCAGGTATAAATATAAATAAATTTGTTTTTCGCGACGATGAAATATTTCCCATCAACCCACACTCGCATGCGCACTGATTAGTTCAACAAGGCTTGGCCAGATTTAACATGACATTTGTATTTATTCTGCTTAATCAAATTAAATTCTCCTCAGGATTTCATAGATTCTCTAGATTTTACCTAAAATATATATTTGTTTTTCTCTTGGTTGGAAACTGCTTACAAAACAAACTAGATTCAAGAGTTTTAGACTAAAATTCACCATATACAATACTCGAGAGCCACTCAAGGTAGAAGTTTATAGTCAAAATATTAATGACAAGTGATGTGCGCTATATGAATGAAAGAGGAGGTGGCAGTAAGTGAAGATTGGGAGGATAAGGAGGAAAGATAACGAGTGACCGTTGACATGTAGAGGTTAAGTTTCAGATCTAGGCAGCAAACTGTTAATCCTTTTCGTTAACGGTTTGGTTTGGTTTATGGCATATCAACGTCAATGGATTATTTAATTCCGACAAAATTTTTATTGCTGTTAATTTTTTTTAATTTATAGCTGGTAACATTTTTTTTCCCAAAAATTATTGCTGGTATTATTTTTTTTAGAAAATATTTCTGGTATTAAAACCTATTTTTAAACTTTCGTAGTGTTTTGACCCCAGTTTGGAGGTTAACTATTTGCATATAGTTGGGACTCTAACAGATGTTACCACCCCGGGTCAGGATGGACCTGGTAACACCAGCAATTAAGAGGTGGTTCCACGCTCTTCAACACCTCCTGTTCAGAAGCCTTGCTGCTGGACGTAGTTTATCGTCTTACCCGGGACGCGGATGTAGTTTATCGTCTTACCCAGGACGGTTCGTTGTTTAACTTTGAAAAGCGTTATCGGAATAATTAACTTCAGTTAAATATTCTTCAAATTCAAGTGAGTGAAAGATCTTATTCTATATTTTATCATTCTTCCTTTTTTTTCCATTTATTGCTGTTGTTTTTGATTGATGCTGCCCAGATTTCATTAATCACTTCATTTATTTGAACATTCTGCTTCCCTTGTCCACTCTTTCATTTTCTTTTTTTCTTCCACTCTATTGATTCTATATATTTAGTTAAAAAAAGCCTTGTAGTTATTTCATTTCATCATTTAAGTTTAAATGCAATATCCAATTATTCTTCATGTAGGAACCTATAATGAAAACTCGGAGTCTAGTTCAGTTTAATGCGCCATTATTGAATATAACGGATGGGTCTTGTCGTTTTGGCTAAGATGGCGTGGTTTATTTATATGAATCATAAGACAGGGGAGGTAATCGGGTTGTCTTACCACTTTCTCCCCGGATTTGCTTTCTCCTAGTCCGAACTTGGTTTTATTCGAGCGCAAATCTGACAACCATTTGTTATTCGTTTCACGTCCTCAACTGAAAAAGGCAAATTCTGGCCTCGAACCACATGCATCATCCTCGTAATGACAGATAACAGAGTTCGTTATTAACTTTTTGTAGATCTTTGGCGCTCTTTATTGATCCACACACTCCCGACAGCGCGTCCGCCGTTGCATTTTCCTTTTCCCACCGATAGAAAACGTCAAACGAAAAATAGGAAAACCCTATCCCCCATTTCGCTATCTTTTCATTATTTTTTAGTTTGCTTGACGTCTTGAGCATAAAAGAGACTGACTTCTGGTCAGTGATTAATTTAAAGCAGTGACCAATTAAGAAATGTCGCCATGTTTTTTAGCACCTCGACTATAGTATAAGCCTCCTTTTCGACAGCTGAATGTCTGCGCTCAGATTTTAACAATGTTCTGGAGAAGAACGCTACAGGGCACCCGGATTGTCTTAATGTGCTAGTTGCGACGTGGACGGAAACGAAAGGAATGTCAAGATTCACCGAAGTGTTGGCTAAGTTGGCAATTGTTAACCCTTCAAAGGCTTTAACGGTAAAAGGTAAAGGAAATTTGGTAAATTTTGTAAGTGGGTGTATTCTTTCAGAAAAAGAAGGTATCCATTGAGAATAATAAGCGAACATACCCAAGGTTCGTCGCAAGGCGGCTATAGTGTCGGAAATAGGTAGTTTTAGCACTGATATTAGCCGTTCAGTGTCCGGCTTCATGATTCCTTTACCCACAATATTTCCAAGTAGTCTGATCTTTGTCAACCCATAGGAACTCTTGTCATGGTTGAGTGTAAAATTATATTTTTTGACAGCCGCCAAAAACCGTATTATATTGCGAATGAGGTCGGCCTAATCATGGCCACACACTGTCACATTATCAATGTATTCAAAGGTGCCTTGTATTTTTTTTCTTCAAGAATTATTCCTTCTCTTCACATTTTCGCTATTTCTGCTTGAATAAACGTTTTGTCTTCGGAATATTTTCGAGATTTTGGGGCCACTGTTTTTGGTTAAGTTATCAAAAAGAGAGGGGTATTGTATATTTATAGCGGGCAAGGCACAGATGTTCAACGCCGGTTTAGGGCCCTCAAAAGGGAGATTGAATGCTGTTTGAGGCAATAGTGGCCCCGTATTACATCTCAGCACAGATATGGAATTACGAAAGATTTGGTGCTAGTGCCGTTAGTTTGATTCAATTATAGGCCGGCCAAAATGTATCGTCTAACTTGAGAAGATAGTGATACGTTCGCCATAGCCGCCTATTACAATGTACGATTTTAAATCTGTTTCTTTTTTAAATATCAGCGCTAATAAAACTCTCTGGGCTTCCTCTGTTGACTAGAGCATTCATTTCTGCCCCGTTTGTTTTTTACCGTTAATATAGCCTTTGAAAGGCATTTAAGGTTTGCAGTTGATACGATCCGAGTCGCAATAGGAGCATTCGAAGCAGGCGAAAAAAAAAAGCTTGATCGACAAACCTTAGAGAAACGTCCCTTCTTCCCGCACTTGTGGCATTTATTTTCCCTGTCTGGACAACACGACCTGGGGTGTAGTTTGAGACCACAAAAGTAAATTTTTCGTCTGGCTGCAGCACTAACTGCGCCCGATACAAATATCATATTGCTTGTTTGTAGGCTGGCTACTGTACCTTGCACTTGTTTACTTTTCTAATCCGATGTTTTGAAGGTCCAAATTCATTTAAGAAACCTCTTTCCATAAATAATTAATTTAGGTTCTTATAAATAAGTAAAATAACTAAAATCATTAAAAAAAACCTCACTTAATCCCTCCCAGACACTTGTATGATTTGGAATTTTCTACTATTTTCGTATTTTCAATCAAGACATTATTGTAATTTTGACTTTAAACGTCATCATGGCATCTCAAGAACTTGAATCTGTTGGTGTTGTCAAAGTTAAAACTGCCAGTGCCACTAAACTTCAGCAGGAACAGGCTCAGAACTCAGTTTCTCATTTTTTTTTAGCAATAAATTTCAATTATTTTCACCTTTTTTTAGTTCTAAAATTCTTTAAAAGCATAAAAAAAGCAAAAAGTAGCCTTTTTAGGTCTTTTAAAAGTTAAAATTAACCTTTTCTAACTCTGAAGCAAAAAACTGTAGCTTTTGGTAGGTACCTCTACCTTGGTTTAAAATAA